CCCCAAAACCCCAAAACCCCAAAACCCCAAAACCCCTGGGAAGTTATGATAAATTGAAGTTATAATAAATTGAAGTTCTGGAAAATAATTTGATGAATTAGAACTGAAACTAAATCTGAAAATTTGTTATCCGTTTGATTTTTCTACTTCAGAAGGACCTTCCGCGTTCCTTTCTATACTATCTCTTCGTATTTTAAACCTTGATTTGTAATTTTTGTCTTTGTTTGATTTAATATATTGAAAGGTCGATATCCCTTTGAACTTAATATATATGTGGAAAAGCATCAATTTCATGCCTCCAAGCAATCAGATTAAATTGATCAATCCCATGATTGAATGCGTTATTATCATTACTACCTTCTCTTCCACTCCTACAATCTTTTCAACTTTTGTGTTCCATTGATCATCGACAGTTCATCCAATGATAATAGCAAGCACAAAGATAGTTTCTTGTAGCAAGAAGGAAACAAGAACCTTGATAAAGCTCTTGTAATTATTTGTCTCCAATGCAGTTATTAAGCCAATATCAATGATGATCAAATCCACTTATGCACTTATTGCATTTTCCACAATGCTTAGCCTGATCACTTACATGTCAGTCGCAAATAGATCAGAAGAACTCATAGTCTGATTTTCAGAATGATACATTATCTTCCCTTGCTTTTCGTTCTTTTATGACTATGTCATCAATAGGGTTTACTATACCAAAAATGTAACATTTTCAGCATTGAAAAGGCCAGAATTGAGAATTAAGCATACATAAACTAGAACTTACTTATAACATGGCAGCTAGTGCATATCTTATCACAACACATCCTGTTGAAACATAAGTAAGCTCCACCAGTATTCCTACTATTAATCCAAACATTGGTGCAATAAAGAGGGAAAAATACAGTAGATTTGTGGTAAACACTATCCAGGATACGATCTGGAGGGCATTCAGAGGTTTAGAAAGCCCATGCTTTCTTGTCCTCCATTGCATTATCATATCACCATCCATCTTATTATTTGATTATTTTCAATTTTCAATTTATTTTTTAAATTCTGGGGTTTTGGGGTTTTGGGGTTTTGGGGTTTTGGGG